ATTTGACTTCCTCCTATATTTTGTCCTATTGTTATCATTTCTTTTCATTCTACATATGTTACATGCACATTATTATTATAAGAAATAAATGGGGTGCCTGGGTGGCTCAGTTGGTTAATCAACCAACTCTTGGTTTGAGCTCAGGTCATGATTTCATGGGTCATGGTATCAAAACCCAGGTTGGGCTCCGCACTCAGCAGGGAGTCTGCTTTAAGAGTCTCTTCCTCTGCCCCTCCCCACACTGGTGTGTGCTCAAACACTCTCTAAAATAAATAAATAAATCTTAAAAAAAGAGAAATAAATAATTTAAAGTTAGTCAAAATATTTACCCTTTATGTGTTTTTCATTATATCCTACACTTGGCATTTCCATTTTGCATCTTCTTCCTTCTGCCTGAGGGAAAAAAGAATTTGCAGGCCTACTGAATGCAAATTATCTCAGCTTTTATGTCTCTGCAAATGTCTGTTTGGGTTTTTTACCTTCATTGTTAAAGGCTAATTTCCCTGTGAATAGAATTCAAGTCTTTCCATTATTTTTTTTCTCAGCAAAATGGTTTTCCATTGTTTTTAACTTTCACCATTTCCATGGCTATTTCTTAAAAGATAATGTATGTTTACCTAAAAAATATTTTTTTAAATGACCCTTTTGTCTTTAGTTTTCAGCAAGTATACTACAATGTGACTGTAGTTCTCTGTATATTTAGCCTACATAGTTTCATAAGGCTTCTTGAAACTGTTGACTTGTTATCTTTTGTTTTAGAGGAACATTGGTGTTTAAAATTTCTTCAAATATTGCCCCTGTCCTATTTTCTTTGTCATCTTCTAATTACATGTAGATATTTTTGTCATGTCCCTGTCTTTTACTCTCTTTTCTGTGTTTTCCATCTTTTTTCCCCTGATGTGCTTCTCTCTGGGTAATTTTTAATAACCTATCTTTCAGGACTCTGATTCTCCCTTGTGCCATATTCTAATCTATGATTGAATCAATCCACTCAATTCCTAAATGGAATGATCTTCTTATGTCTAAGAAAAACATAGTAATTGGGCGCCTGGGTGGCTCAGTTGGTTGGGCGACTGCCTTCGGCTCAGGTCATGATCCTGGAGTCCCGGGATCAAGTCCCGCATCGGGCTCCCTGCAGAGCAGGGAGCCTGCTTCTCCCTCTGACCCTCCCCCCTCTCATGTGCTCTCTGTCTCTCTCATTCTCTCTGTCTCAGATAAATAAATAAAATCTTTAAAAAAAAAAAAAAAAAGAAAAGAAAAACATAGTAATTACTTCTTATCTGGTGAAAATTTTTATCATTTCATATATTACCTTAAATATGTTAATTCTAATTATTTTAAAGTCTGTGTTTTATAACTTCAAAATCTTAAACATAGCTTCTTTGGTTATCTTTTTTTTTTTCCTCTTGGTTTTCCTGGCATGCTTGGACATCTTTCATTGACTGTTGTGAGTGAAAAATTGTAGAGGGTTGGGATCATTTTATATTTTTTCCAGAGAAGGTTTGATTTGTTTTTAGGAGGCAGAAAAAATACAGCAGGTCACCTTCACCCAGTCTAGAATGGTCCATTGCTTCTAGGGCATAGCTTTTTAGGAGTATAAAATTAAAACCAGGGGTATTGGGGCACCTGGGTGGCTCAGTCAGTTAAGCATCTGACTATTGGTTTTGGCTCAGGTCATGATCTCAGGATTGTGAGATCAAGCCCTATCACAGAGTCTGCTTGTCCCTCTCCCTCTGCTCTCTCTCCCTCTCTTTGCTTGCTCTCTCTCTCTTTTTAAAAATAAATAAATAAATAAATAAAATCTTAAAAAAAAAATAAAGCCAGGGGTATTTAGCAGGGTTTTGTTTTCTATGATGGGCCCTAAAGTCTTCTTTTTGTTTCTCTGGTATATTGAAGTAGCCAAAATCTCTGATTAGCTTTTTAAGTCTTAATAGCTGCTTTCTCCTTGGCTTCCTAGTACCCTCTCTCTATGTGTTTCAGTTTTAAGTTAGCAAGTGCCTTAATGAAATGGCTGGCAAAATCTTCACCTCACTATTCTGCAGCTGCTTTCTTTCAGGTATCCTGGCCTTCTAGTGCTGGTTGTCTTGGTGGTCTTAAATTCCAATCTTTGTCTTCCCAGTCCAGTGAGACTGACATGAAATCTAGGTTATTGCCTTCTTTTCATCCTCCATGCTCTGCATCTTGATTTGGCAAATGGCCAGAGAAGAAAAAGTTGCACAGAAGGTTTGAGTCAGCTCAATGAGTTTCCTTTCTTTTCCAGATTTTAGCTACTCAAGTCTTGGCTGCTTTCATTGCCATCTGAACTTTCAAAGAGATGCTTTTTGTATTTTATTCAGATCTTTGAGATTTTTTTTCACCTGGATAGTTTGTATGATACTGGCTAACTCAGCATAAAATCATGTGTGGTTATTTTTTCATCTTAAAAGCAAGTTACAAAGTAAAGAAGTTACAAAGTGATCCAACCAAAGCCTTATTACTAATAATGGGTGGAAAGCCAAATCTTAATCTACATGTTTCTATTATTCCAGAAATTAACGCCTGTTTTAAAATTGTCCTGCATACCTCCAACTAGAAAACTACAATAGTATTTACTGAAGGAAATTTTGTTCCCTTGCTACATCACAGAATAATCTTAAAGACAAATCAAATATCTTAACTAAAGTTATGGCTACTTAACAGAGTAACACCTTTGGCAAACCATTAAACATCAATCCTTCAAAGTCTTGAGAGAAAAGAAAACATTATGCCAGATCATTAAATAAAAACAAATAAATGAAATAGTGACTGTTGATTCACCAGCATGATAAAAAACTCTCATAAAATGAGGCATAGTGAAGATTTCTCATCACATTATATAAAACATAGTATCATACCTTATAATAATATCTTATTTGAGAAATATTTTAAATATTGAGATTTCTTACAAAATTTGGTAATTTGGTAGTTTAAAAAAAAAAAACATACAACAAGGAACTCAGTAATTACACCAGCTAAAAGGTTTATTTTTCCCTAACTTTCATGAACATACCTGCATTATAAGTATAACTCTGTTGGGTCCTCAGAACTCATTGAGCAACTGGGGCTTCACCACACAGGTCTAGCACAAGTTATCTCCAACCCCAGCAGTCTTCCAGTGTCCCATTTCTGACCTCACTTCTTTCCTTCTCACACAACTTATTACTTAAGTTATCCATCACCTGTTATTCCAGGGAACTAGCCTTCCTAAAATCTATCATGAGAAACCATACAGCCCAGCAGTTAACAGATCAACGTGTGTGTGAATCCTGACTCTGCCCCTTTCTAGATGTATGAATGTAGGTAAATTACACTACAGTTATTAGTCTGTTTCCTAATCTGTAAAATGGAAATAATAGCATCTATCACACAGTATGAAATGGAGTGAGAAATGGAGCTAATATACATAAAGCAACCAGTATAGAATGAGGCTTGTAATTAATACCACAAATAATAATTATTTCATTTTGTTTTTTTAATAAAAATATTTAGACACAAATTAATAATAAGTATGGTTTCTACCAAATGAGGAGATGGACTGTTCATTAATAATTACAGTGTTATGTGCTGTAACTCCAAAATGTGGCCAAACTGCAATAAAGATCATCACTTTATTACACTCCTCAAAAAACTTTTAAGTGGCAACTATATTGGAAGAATGGATTTGATAACACTTGGTAACATTTGATTAATTAATAAGATATTTAGTTTTCTATCATCTACATATCTCAGTAGATGTGTAGATTGAACGCTTCAATGAAAGTGTTCCCCAAGTGACAGACCCCCTGGAAATATTGTTAAAATGCAAATCTTTAGGTCTCTCCTGAGAAGTCTTAAATCAGAATCTTTGGGGAAGAGGATTAGGCATCTTCATGTCCACAAGCTCTCCAGGAAAATTTTTTATATATAATGGTTTGAGAACAACTGCTTTATTGTTAAGTAAGAAATAAACCTTGCAGTCTTTACTTCCTTATGCTCTTACATCACCCCAACCAGAGATATTGTGATAAAGTATATGTATTCAGGCATCAGTTATTGGAGAGAATCCAGGTGGGAAAAGCACAAGTATAAAGTTATAATCTCAACCCTGAAGTTAGAAGGACTAGCTTGGCTGTAATATGGTGATAAATTCAGCTGGGTTGAAAATATTATTAACTCAATTATGAAAATATTATGTCAAGAAGATTGATGTACCCACGTAGTTCTAACAACACTGTATATTCTTAACTTCCAGTGATTTTACCTTACGGATTAATCTAAGTGCAACATAAGTAATTTTAAATACTGAGCAATGTTAATACCTGTAAGCCCCCTGTCATCATCTATCATAGCATTCTACTCTCTTCCATTATAGTAGTTGCCATATTTTTATTACATGTTTTACAGTTTTTACAGTTGATCTTTGTTTACTGATTATCTGCAAGGTCAGATTATCTGCTATACCATAGCAGACTCCTGTGTATTTTGGTCTGGACCCAAAGCCAGCAAACCACTAAGTAGACCACAGATAATAAAATCTCTTGAATGAATAAAATGAGTATTTTTACACATTGAAAATTTTTATCAGAACTTAACCATAAAGTTGTAGCTTTTCCTCAAAATACATGATTTTAAAGATATTTGGTGAAAGTATGGACTTTGTAATCACAAGACCATGAATTTTAATTTCATGCCTATTGCTTTGGCTATGAGACCCATAGACAAATTATTTAACTATTCTTTCTCTCAGTTTCCTCATCCATGAAGCTTTTCTAAACAAATAGAATTTAAAGGACAATTAGATAAGTAGGAATTTCTCCCAGATTCAGAAGGTAACAAAAATATAGGCAGTGGAAAGAAGCAGAGAATTTCTGGTTATGAGAGCACCAGCAAGTTTTCACTCCCATACTAGCTGTTCTTTACTCTCCAAATGACTTTTTATGGCAAACTGCAATGCAACTACATTGTATTTTTAGAAACTTCAAAGATAAGCGATAAGTACTCACAGAGTGTTCAAATTCTTGAGTTTCTTGAAGGCACTCCCAGGAATTTCTCGTATTCTGTTAAACCTCAAGTCTCTGGGAACATAAAAAGAGGGAGAAAGATTATAATATGTGAATTCCAGTGGTGCTATTATTTCCAGAAACTTGAAAACTAATTCTCCTTTTATAGCCAAATTATGGCACTAAAGGACTAAACATAAGACAGAATTAAGTACATTATGCATAATCATTAGGCAGGTACATTGTTTATAGCAGATTATGCGTATCAGGAGCTATATGCTAGTCCCAAGGTGCCAGACAAGTGCAGCTACTTACAGAGCTCTTCAAAGTGTTAAAGGCAGTTACACCATTTCCTTTAGATTATATTTATATGGCACTAAGACAAATTCTATATATGGCAACATGCCAATTGAGCATAATTAATTTGGACAATATTGATAGATCAGATGTCACTTATCAATTCAACATAACACCATTACTTGGGTTTAGGCAAAATTATTATTAATTAGTTAACTTTTCTTCATAGTCCAGGAATATAACAGCCTTCTAAGGAAGTATTAAAACAAGTCAACAAAACAATTAGTGTAAGAGACAACCAACATTCTCTTTCATCAATTAATACATTATTTTATTCAGCATGTAAATTATTGAGTGCCAACTACATGCCACATATTGTGTTACATAATAGGGACACAAAGATGTGCAATATATGATCCCTGCTACTGAGCAGGCACAGTTGAATTGAGGATTACAAATAAATAATTACAGCACTAGTATATAAAGTATTAGTGGCACAACAGAGCAACAAACAAAATGCTCTGCACAGATAGCCAACTTAGGTATTGGTCTGCCTAGATCCTCTCTATCAGTGAGAGAAGAACCCACTCTGCTGCCTATGATTTTGGTGGAAATGTTAATCAGGTGCTCTTCAAGAGGGTGACTAAAGCCAGACATTAGTGTGTCGGGAAAACAAACACAAAAGGAAAAACAAAAAACTAAATATCTACTTCCCCTCAACTAACTTCTCAAAATAAAATTTTTCACCACCATAAAAAAGAGTTCTTGATTCAAAATCTTTGTAAGATTACCTTAAAATTCTATCATTTTATGTTTCTCTTGAGTTGACTTTGGAAGAATATGTACAATTTTATAGGAGCTTTTTCAATTAAAATCATTCAATTAAATCCTGACACCAAGAAATAAAAAAGATGCATGAAATTTTTTCAAAGGTATTCAATTAAAATAACTCAAAGTGAATATACCTCTTTGTAAGATGGAATATACTGCTTAAACATCATACATTGTTATTCGATGTGTCTGTACTATATTTTTAAAAGAAACTTTATAAATGATGTGAAATTCTCACTATAAACATATAAGAGATAAAGTTATATAAATCCAAATACCCTAGACCCATGGTTTCCCTTCAACACAGTAGCTTTAAATTACAAAAAGGACTCTCCTCTCACAACAAACCATAAATCCTAATAGTCCTCCCAAACTGAGTTTCCAACAATACAAGAAGGGAGTAAATATAAAAGGATAAATCACTTTCCTTTTTTTAGGCTTTGAAATTTTTTAAAAATTCAGAAAAGTACAAATAACAAAAGAATACTCTTTATTGTCCATATCCAGAATTAACAACTGCTTTCACTTGATACAGTTGCTTCTATTCATAGTTCCACACATTTTTATTTTGATTACACAAATCACATGTAAAAATATATTACAGGTAAAGTAAAAGTCTCTTTTAACCACTATCTTAATTTTAGCTATGTCTTCTTTTCCCTCATATAATCTCTCTCCTGAGTGTGATGCCTCTCTTCAGACACACAAACATACATAGGGATGTGAATAAATATAAGTAAAATGTATACATATAAAAATACGAAAACAAACATAATATAAGTAAATATAAAATATTTAGTGTTTTTAAATTTACAAAAGTGGTATCAAACTTTATATAGTTTTAAAACTTCTTTTTTCCCCCCTCTACTGCATCTCTTCTAGGTCATTCCTTGGCACATAAAGATCTAGATATTTGTCCTCATCTGTTCTGTAATATTCCACTATGCAGACAGGCCACTGTTCATTTATATATTCCCTTACTGACAGCCATTTTGACTGTTTTCAATTTTTTACAACATTTACAAATAATATTTCAATAAACATGCATGCATGTCTCCTTGTGCACATGAAGAAATGTTTCTCTGGAACATATTTAGAATTATGTTTGCTAGATCATAGTGTATGCACAGCTTCAGTTTTATGAAATCATGCCAATTCCAAATTTATTTTCAATGAGATCCTACAGCAGTAATATAAGTAATTAAAAATAATGCGAAAAGATGCTTGAAGTAATCACCAAATTTAAACTTTTCACTGGATTGATTTAAGAGTCAAGGTGTTAAGTATGTTGGTTATCAAAATTCCCTCCTGTCTTCACTAGTAAGCAAAGGTCTCCTGCCACAAGAATAGTGTGGCAAGGTGTCCACTGTCCCAAGGGTTATTCAGGGGACTGTGAGATACATGACCTACAGTTCTCATTGCTCAGGCAGCCACAGGGTACTTCTTCCAGAGAAGCAAAACACACTTAGAGACCCAAAAATTATTTCCCCATTGACTTAAACTCCCATAAGGCATATTCAAATGCACCAAAGTTAGCATGTTAACATTCATCTTCTTTGCTAGTATATTCTACCACGTAAACTTGTGTAGTTAGGTATATTAAAAACTAAAACTCTAAGGAAAGACTTCCCTTCCTAATTTTAATTGCTGCATTTAGGATTGCATATGGGGCATTACACAATTGCTGAAAGTAGTATTTACCATACCTTTTTATGAAATTACACTAAAAGATCATCTGAATTCAAATGACCACCAAATTTGGATCATGCTACCTTCTGTGTAAATAAGTTTATACAAAAATATAATTTATTTTCCCATATTGCCTCTATGTTCAAGATAGATCACTAAAATTTCACCCACACAAAATTTGTCATCTATATAAAACTTCCCTTAGCATAAGTTGTAGCATTATATTTTCACTCTTTGCATAGAGTGAAAGTTGAATTTCTATATATCCTGCACAATTCATCCCTTTATGATATATGTAATATTGATAAAATAATATTCATAAAAATAATTATTATTATTTAGCACAATTTTCATCCCATTCATTGTTCACTGGAATCCAATTTAGAAGCAACTTTAGGAAATGCACCAAGATGAAAACAGAGCACATGGTGCTTACTGGCAGTGGTTAAACAGGAGTTTGTCTGTCTATATGTCTGTCTGGCCTGCCCACCCCCATCTAAAGCTGCTAAAGCTGGAGAAGAAATGTTTAATGATGTTTACAGTGAGAAATTTGGAATTGATGTTTTTAACCAATAAGAGATGGGTTTTAGTTCAAATTCAATCCAGAAGAATCTCCTTCCAAAAAGAGTTTTAAATGATTCTCCCATTGTACACAGGGGGCAGAGAACAAGCATGGATGGACAGCAACGAGAACTAAACTCAAACAAATTAATATAGCACAATCATGTTATTTAGTTCCTCCAGGGAACAGGGCACACCACGCCCATATCACTACCCATTACACACCCTCTGGGTGGGTTAGATAGAGTTATACTATATCTGTGTGGAAAAGTCCAGCGAAAGACCTCACAGAGGGATAGAGAGGCTAGACCTTGCCCAGAGGTCTGAGGTTCCCAGTATATTTTATAAATGCCAAACATAGGGCATATTTTTGAAAACATTAAAGTGGGTATTTAAACATAAAAAATAAAATTGTAATTGTCCACAGATGGTAGTCCAGTTTAAGTTGTGAGATGAATGCGATGCTCTTGAAAAACACTATCAGCCTGCCCTGGGACTGAATGCATAGGCCATTAGGAGATAAAATCAAAGTCTAAGTTTGAGTTCTTGAAGGTGATACCCAGGCTAACAGATTGTCTGGTCCCGCTGTGGTATGGGTCCTCCTAATAGTGCCCTGGTTGGAGATGGCCTTCAGGTTTATTGTGAGTAGATACCTGAGCTAAGGGGGCCCTTTCCTAGACATTTTAGCTAAGAATCTAGCCCTGAGAGAGCAAAACAAATAAGGGAAACTCTCAGAGAGCACCAACTTAGGCAGGCTGATTTCAGTCTGAGTGTGCTACTTGTTTCCTCATAAGTGAGAAATATTCATTCTGGCAGAAAGCCTATCTTCATGAAAAAAAGATCAAGCAGATCCATACTTGAGCCAAAAGCATTCCTGTTGAAGGCGGGGATGTAACTTAGTCACCGTAAAGTCAAAAGCATAAAACTGCAGAAAAAAAGTAAGCAGGTTCTTGTCTCCCCTGGTTTCCAGGAAGGGCGGGAGGGAATGAGATGACTGCTGATAGTCCGGCCATCATCATCTCTCCCAGGAGCACACACCTGTGCACTCCTGCCTCCTGTCTGTCTCTGGAGTCAAAGTCATATGTGTACTCTGCTCCCTGCAGCCAGGTTCTCTGTTACTCTGATCCTAACTCCTAGAGCTGCCCCGGCCTCCATCACTTCTCAGCTCTTATCCCATGTGCCGTTCCCTCATCCATGATGTCTAGACTGACCAGACCTTGGAATCAGGGGAAGAACGTAAGAGATCTCTCCACAACCTCTCCTGCTGCCCATCTTCTTTATCTTTCCATCTTGCAGCCCTTTCAGGGTAGGAACTGGAAAAACATTTTCCAGGCCTGAGGAAGAGAAGTTGGAAGACACCACTCAATGCATGGCTTGCCTGATTTCCAATCATGTTCTTTGGTTTTCCCTGACCTCAGGTTCATTTTCTGCCTACCAAGTGTCAAGCAGCCAGAGCCTGAGTCTATCATCCATTGCTGTTTGTCTGGCCTGATGTTAACCTGTTATGAAGGGTAATTTATGTGTCAACTTGACTAAGCCATGGTACCCAGATTTTGGTCAAACACCAGTCTAGATGTTGCTGTGAAGGTATATTTTTATACGTGATGAACACCAAAATCAGTAGACTTTGAATAAAGCAGATACCCTCCATAATGTGGATCCTAAAGTGATCATCTGATCACTTAAAGTCCTTAAGA